AAAGTTAACGCCCAACAAACTCGCCCTCGACCCTCAACCATAGAACATTTATTTAAACAAGATTGGTATTCTAACGCGTTCAATATTCTTGCCCACAATATCAACTGTTATTTACGGAAACACGATAGAAATTTTATGACCGAGAACAACCTACTAACGTAATAAAATTGAGTTTTCCCGTTTTTCCTATAGCATGCATTACATCGTATCAAGCGATGACTGCCGGTGGTGCCGCTCGACCCCAGCAATACAGGCCTCTATCCGCGATCCAGCCCACAAAGAGATCAGTGGTGCCAGTGCTATTAGACATAAATCGTTTATTTGCATCGGTACACCCATACCTGCCGGATGTCTGGACGAGGCGCAAAACCGTACTTCCGGCCAATATTGAAGCCGGTTTTCGGCTGAAATTGCCTCGACACTCGCCAAGAAGCAACGTGCTGCTTCGGCGACTCGTTTGCGTAATTTATTTGTTCAGTCATTTTATTGGGTCCCGGGCCACTGTGTACACCCAAAAAAAGAAATGTACTGCGGTAATTACACCTTGACGAGAAGCAGGCACGTAGCCAGGATTCTGTTTAAGGGGGGGGGGGGGGGGGGCGCCCATGACAATGCGCTTTATGAGGGGGAGGGCGGAGAGGAGGCCTCAGCAAATGGAAGATTTCGGGGGGGGGGGCCTTATGCCCCCCCCCCTGGCTACGTGCCTGACGAGAAGGGGTATTGCAGTTTTACATCTTTATAAAAAGGTGTAGTGCATTGTCACACGTTTCAAGAAACGTGTTTAAAAAATCACACATTTTTAAAGGTGTGAGGTTGACATTTTTTTTATGAGGTCTTTTGCTACACTTATTAGAGTGTTAGTAATGGGCAGTCTTGGGTAAGTTACTTTTAAAAAGTAATTCGTTACAGTTACAGTTACTTTTAGAAAAAGAGTAGCGAAGTTACCGTTACAGTTACCGCAACAAAATAGTAACTCGTTACAGTTACACTTACTTTTAAAAAGTAACGACGTTACTTCTGAGTTACTTTTCTAAAACACAAAAAAACTAGGAAAAACTAGAAAACGCCCCTCACCAAGTTTTTTGAATAAAACTAAAAGGTGCGCTTTATACTTCATATTGAAACTCAGCAGCCGTTGCTTCTCGAAATTAGTGCATGAAAGTTTCCCTCTTTTGATGGCAAACACGTCCCTGCCCTTGCTGAATAGGCGCTCAACTGGTGCGCTTGAAGGAATAGCACGGAGGCAAACGCGGATCCAACACAAATGCCATATCCTTGGCAGCACTAGCACATTGCTAGCTCTTTGACGGTTGCGCTAGGTCCATAGAGTCCCAGGACATATTTCAGTTCGTACCCGGCAAGCCAGAAACAAACCCCGCGCAAGAAGCAGTACATTTTGCCTCGACTGTTAACGCTCCGCCGGAGTAGTGGCGCAAATCAAAATACGAAAAATCCACATTGCGTTGTAGTGGCGCTAATCAAAATACGAAACATGCGAAGTGCCTTTCGCGTGTATTGGAGATTCAGGGTGTATTCACCCAATAAAAAACCGTTTGCACAAAAAAGGGAACAAACGCAACGTGGATAGTGCTTCAAGATACTAAGATGTAAATATACAGTCAAAAAGTACAAGCGCGGCCGTAAAGATATCTAGATTTGTTTTTTCTTCAAATTTACAGGTGGCTGCGAGAATACTTTCTTTCGCGAGAAAGAAAGTATTCACAAGTTTGTGCAAGGCCATCTTGACGCTCGAAATGTCGGAAAAGACAATTTAGAAAGTGCGAGGAATAGCTAGATTGTATTTGTTCAATGATATATTATTCATAAAAAAAACTGGAAAGTAACGACAAAAGTAACGTCGTTACTTTCATCGTTACCTCAGAAAAAAGTAATAGAGCTACAGTTACAAGTTACAGTTTTAAAAAGTAACTCGTTACAGTTACAAGTTACCAAAAAAGTAACGACATCACAGTAACGCGTCACTAGTAACGCGTTACTACTCAAGACTGGTTATGGGACACCCCACTTACATGTTTAAAGATGTGAAAATGTTTAACGTGTATATACCTCTAACGGAAGAAAATCTCGTTCATGTGACTACATCGCGTGTCGATGAAACGATCTGTCGATGACACGTCGTTCGATGAACTGATTTGACCGCCAATGAGTGACGACTGCCAGTATAATTTCGGGGAAATAGTTCTGCCGGCTGCCGGCTGCCGGCTGCCGGGAGAGTCGACCCTACCCAGGAATTACACCGGTTCTTGTTTGTTTTCCATCATTCTGAATTGTATACCAGCTTATTAGTACCTCTTCAGATATTACAGAAAAATACGATGGCAGCCGAAAAAACTCCGACAGCCCGGCTCACAGTGATGTGGGAGACTGACAGGTGCTCGTCAGTCGCCACCGTGCCTTGAAAGCTGTCGGTTCCGAAGAACCGGAGCGCGCAGAGAACTTGTTGTTCCACGGTCATGGTAGAGGCGATTGTCCGCCGCTTCGAAGTCCGGGCGCCGAACGAAGCTCGTCGCAGAGTCAACGCGCAACGGTTTTCGATAGCCGGTCCTGTCGCCGAAAGTCGTCGTCGGGGAATTGAAAGGCGTCCCCGGTGGTCTCGGTAGCGAAGCTCGGCCGCAGCGTACGGAACCGCCATGTTGACAAAGTTTAACTTCGCCTCGATCCGAAGCGAAGATCTCAAGCTCAAACCACGGCTCTCGCAAAATTCGGAAACGTCATTTTGACGTCAGCGACAACTTCGACAAACGAGGTTTCTTTTTTACACAAACTTAGGAGGGATTTTGAGCGCCATCAGGTCGCCTAGGGACAATCTGCACAGCATTAATTTTAGCTTGGCGTAGGGATGTAGGAACAAATGGGCGCTACGTCATCGGCGAAGCCGTTCAGTCAGCGGGCTCCTCGCGCCCCTCACGCGCCGCAAGCGCGCCTCGATGAACTTTGCTACATTCTGCCTCTCTATACTTCGTTTCACCTTGTCTGCGAGCGAAGCCAAAGCTAGAAGCGCGAGACCAGCGCTTTTCGCGTTTCTCCCCAGCTCGCGCGCTCGAGCAAAGCCTGAACGCACGGAGCTTCCGTGCTCGCGCTTCCAGCTTTGCCTTCGCTCGCACATAGGGTGAAACGAAGTATAGAAGAAATGAGCGTTCGAATGATTGACACCTCGCTCGGCGCGACGTCAGCGTCGCGAGAGTCCAATTAGCGCGTTCCGCAAACTTCGGGCACAAAGTTGTGCTTGACGAGTTTAGCGACCCTGGATGAGCATCGTACCGGCGTGCGGTCGTGTATCATTTTTGCGTGAGCACGTTAAAGACCCCAGGTTAGCAGTCGTACTGCACTGGCGAAATTGCTCATCTACAATGTAAACCAGTGTCGCCTCATCATGGCAGACCGATCTTACGCTGTATAAATCACTAAACGTCCAATTTGACGTTTGATTTGACCACTCCCCCGGGATCGGCGGATACCTCACCGTCATTAACCTACCCGGGAATTCCCTTCACGCGGTACCGGATCACGAACTCCAAGTTTTCGCCATCGCAGCGCTAACAACACGTGTTCAAAGCGGGACAGAAGCTAATCATGGTGTGAACGATGCGCGTTGATAAGGGATGCGCATCGAAGTATCCCACTTATCGTAATACTCTTGAACGGTGTAAAAGTACGTCTTGATTTTTGGCCTCTTCTGCGGAGGTCCGGGAAATCAGTCGAGTTCATGCTGCACATATAAGCAATCCTCCTCGTCGCAACTTGATGACGAACTGTGATCAAGCAGCAGAAGCAGTAAAGCGAGCGGAACGTCATGAGCGCCATTTACGAATTATTCCAGGGCGAGGTGCCTAGCGAGAAAGAAAGTCACGTGTGCGGCCCGAGGGGTTGGCCAGGCTGGCTTCCGGTCGAATCCGCCGAAATCGGCGCGGCGACTTCTCGGATCCCGATCGAGATCTGGAGTGGGAGCTGACAAAAAAAAAAGGAGGGGAACACGTCCGTCTCCATTCGATCACCCAGTGAAATAGGCGCGCTTCTAAACGACCTGTAGAATTCGCCATAAAATAAGCATTTCGTTCACATTACATGACTCGATATGAATTCCTAAATGTATCTGTTATTAGACTCGATATTTGTAATTATGCGTTCGAAGCGCGACGCTGTCTTTGGGTTCAATGCGATAGCTCTCTAGTAGAGTCAGATCAGTCACTCCACATCCTCACTGCTCTCTACTCCGCGGACGGATCTTGTTTGAACGACATTTTGCGGACATTTTCGGAGTCTGAGCGTAGTTACCGGAGTGAGTGTTTGTTCTGCTTCGCCGGTCGCTGAGTGTAATGTCGTTTGCATCTATAGCATGATCGCGTAGCTGCACATGATGGCTTTTCTATTTCGACCGTTGTCTATTGTTCTACCTTTGTCCCCGCTGCGAGAAACGTACCGAAAGACAAAATGATATTTATGCGGCGTTCGTGTGCATGTAAAAGAGAAAAGCATATTCTATCGACAAAAACGAGCGAATTGCCTTTTTCTGAAACCAAAGCCATCTGTTTGCGCTTGTATAAGTTGTAGTTCCCCAGTCATTGTGGCAATAAGATAGCCGAGAACAGAATAATACATTAAAACATTAAAAGCGTTACATTGGGTGTTAACACAAATTAATATTTGAGGAGGACGCCTTTGAGTCTCGAGGGTTTTAGTGTAAGGTTTTGAATATGAGCGTTCCATAACATGTTCTCGTGGAATACCACACCTAATGTTTCAGCACTACTTACCAATCCAATTTCGGAAGTACATACTATTTCTTGGTACGCAATACAGAAACTATACGCAAAACTAAAACTAAATTAACTGTTCCAGCGTTGCTGGGAAAAATAAATTTTTGTTTTCTCTCGTGTACAGTGTAGGAAAGAAGTCACTCATAATTTCGTTTGTCAATCATTTAAAAGTTTATTTTTATCAGCAGAGATGGTTGCCCTGCCCGCTCAATCAAGCACGTAAAGTTATCCGCTATGGACTACTGGGTGGGTTGTGATGCAAATACAGACGTAACCAGAAAGCGCAGCGACCTTCCAATTTCAAAATCGTCTCTTCCGGAGGCCCGTTCGTTATTTTCTGAGCAACCAGGTTGTCGGGTCTGACCTGAGGCCATTGATACTTGTCCACGAGGTACTTGTTTCTGTAAGAAGAATACATAAACGTCAAGGACCTAGAAGGGAAGGCATAATGAAGCCGTCACCGCTTCTCCTATTAAACCGTTTGCCTTTCCAGGGCATCCTGCCTCAGCTGCCTTAGACTTAAGATGATATTGTTGTAAGAAGATAATAGCCTTATATGTATCCCTTTGTAAACGGTAATCAATTTTATGTGCTGAGACTCCCCAAATGTCGCTTGGATTGCCAAGATGCAGGTCCTCCAGCACCCGTATTCACCAAACATTTTAACAAAATGCAGTAACTTTGTCGTTGACGTTTTGCAAACCGGCAGAAACTTGTTCAGCGCGCTCATTAAATGACCACCACGTGTGTCTTAAGTGTGAAATAAAAGGTAAAGCAGTTCGTTCGTGCAGGGAAGACACGTGGAGCTCGAGTGACGTTAGTTATGAGAACCACGCAGCCGTTCTCGTGAAGGACCTAGCACACATGGCTATGGCACGGTAGTGAAAGAGCGTGTGTATTGCCAGGAAGCATTTGTGCAAACGTAATAAATGAACAACAATGGAACACGAACGCTACAACCGGCAAAGGCAGACGCCTCCGGCAGCGCCGCAGCAGTAGCATGTCTGGGCCGGCTTATTCCGTTGTTTTATTTCCCTAAGCTGTTCTTGGTGAGGGTGGAATTAATACTTTGTGAAGTCGCTTTCAGAGTCTATTACGGCAGCCATCCGACGAGGAAGACCTTCCACCAGGTGGGATCGCTAGTCCGAAAATCGCAGCCGATTTTCGGACTCAGCTTGAACCCCCGACTACACGACGTCCACCGATCCTCTCTGCAGAGGCCGGTGGGAGAGGGTCCTCTTCATTGCTCCCCAGACGTTCTCTATGACGTCCATGTCGGCTCCTTGGGATAACCAGGCGAGTGTCGTGGCCTCTCCATCTTGCAACAGTTTAGGCACGGACCGTGCTTTGTAGACTGAGCTGCGGTCTTGCTGTAGAGAGAAGAAACCGCCGCTGAAGGGGCCGTCCAAAGCGTACGGCAGGAGCGCCGACTCAACAAGCTCTCCGCGCGCCGCGGAGTTGAACCGGACCTCAATGCGAACCAGAAGACCGAGTCCGTCCCTATACGTTCACGGCGCAATGGCTGATACTGGCAATGCGGTGAAGATTGCATGACTTGAACGTAAAATATAATTAAATTCTTTTATCAGCTCTTATGGGAGTTGAATGTCTCATCTCATGAGAGTATCGTGAAGTAGCTCCACGAGTGTAAATAAATGTGGGAGCACAGAGACTGTGAAAAGCAGAGCGTGCTTTTCAAGGCGCTGAACTTATGTGCTGGCTTTTCACCTAGTGAAATAATATAGACTGTGAGTCGAATAGTCTCTTTTGGGCAAGCAGTCGCAAGAGAATTGTGAAGCACTGATATAGCTATCCACAGCTCTTACCCGGTGTGGTCGGCTCGCCATATTCAAACGAAAAAAACAGCGTTGAAAAACACAGGGACACCGACGAAGGAAAACAGGACAAAGCGCACACTCAACTGAAGTTTATTGGAAATTGACAAGTTAATAGAGCCACGAAAATCCTTCTTAACCTTATCTACTCAGCCCGCGTTTCATAAATTAAAACTCATGCGCAGGTAAAGACAGGGACGTGTCACTTCTACATTTCTTCTCCGTGGTCCTAATTTCAAATGCATCACATGATTTTCGCGCACCTTTATCTTTGATCGATCCAAACTCTTAATATCTTTGAAGGCCGGGATGCACGAGTTGCATGAATTGCAAGATGTCCTGAAGGCGTAGTTCTTGTCGAGGCAGTGTGCTCGCGGGTGCGATTATTCACGCACCTGCCCGTATGCCCCACGTATGGCATTACCCGTGTGAAACTGCCAAGCGCCTCTTTCTGTAACAATGGCCCTCAAGTGAATTTCAAGCTTATGTGCAGCAAAACGGATGTCGAGATGAAATTTCTTGCTAGATCGGACACTGTTTAGCAACCCCGATAGTTCCAATCTGCTGCATAAGTCTGAGCCCGACATTTCTCCTTTGTTAAGAGTCTTGGAGAGACTTGCTTGAAATTCTTGTCGATGGCCTGGATTGCCTCAGCACCGTACAGGGCGGACGGAGCAAGGACGAATCCTCCTTCCTTATCAGAAGAAAGTAATGTTGGCATTGTGCGCAAAGCAGCTTAGAGGGGCAGATAGATCGCCTGCAGAAGGCTGATTTTCCGCTGAAATTTTTGGTTGAGGTGGCAGAAAGCTTAATAAAAAAAATTAAAGACGGTCACAAATTTCTGTAACGCGCGAAATTAGAGCGCAGCTCTTGAGGAGGGGGGAGATATGGAGGGGAGGGTATGCCCCTCCTCCTCCTCCATACTTTCTTCTCCTCCCCTCCTCCTCTCCTTATCACGTCGTCGTCCGCTACATTTAGCGTAAAAATTTCCCCGCTAAATTTAGGGGAATGTTCCCCCGCTAAATTTAGTGGAAAAACTTCCGCGCTAAAGTTAGCGAAAAAATTTCCCGCTAAATTTACAAAAAGTTTTCGCGCCAAATTTAGCGGGAAACTTTTACTCTCCTGGCGTCACACGTGACGTCACGAGTGACATAATTATGGGAAACGTCCCATAATGCAACGCGCCGTTACGCCGACGACGCTCAACCCGGAAACAGGCGCCTAAGAGCTGCGCTCTAAAAAGGTTTAGAGTAATCAGAAATCAAACGGCGACAAACCGACTTCGAAGCCTGTTGTCATTCCACATATGCACAATGTCACGCACAACCTAAAAAAGGTAGCCCAGCGCTACAATGTTCCGGTAGTTTTTTCAGCACCCCAATAAGTTTGCGCTACTTAGTCGCCCGGTAAATTCCCTGCAGCCGTCTTCGGGTCCGTGCACTATACTAGTCACCGAAATAAATACGTAGAATGCGCTACTGGCGCCAACTACAAAATCCCTATGACACGTGGGATGACATATGTGGGCCAGGCGGGCAGGTGCGTGAATGATCGCACCCGCGAGCACGCTGCCTCTACAGGACGACACCTTCAGGACATCTCGCAATTCATCATAACACATGCTCGTGGACCCCTGCCTTCAATGATACTAAGGTTTTGGCTAGATACAAAGATAAACTGTCGCGAGTAGTATATGAGACATTTGAAATTAGGACCAGAAGAAATGTATAAGTTACACGTCGCTGTCTTTATTTACAGGTAAGTTTTATTTTCTGAAAAGCGGGCTGAGTACAGAATGTTAACAAGCTTTTTTGTGGCACTAAGCGTGTCAATTTCAATAAACTTCAGTTGAGTGTGCGCCTTGTCCTGTTTCCCTTCGTCTCTGTCGCTGAGTATTTCCGGCGCTGTTTTTTTTTTTTTTTGTTTTTTTTTTGGAATGAACCAAATGGCTTTAATTTTTACTTTATCGTCATATTCGTTGACGTTGATCCCAGCGAGTAGTGAAGGGAGATTTATTTATCCGGTGAACAGCACGTTCTGCCAGTGAGCTGAAGTGAATGCTGATTGTTCTTGAACAAACAAAAAAACGTGTTTTTTTTTTTTTTTTTTTTTTGACTGCCGCAACCATTGGCTTTCTTGCTGGGAAACGGATACGCAGGCCAGCTTCGTGAAGTCGCATTCGCGCCGTTTTTACGCCCACGTTGAGGTTGAGTTAGTTTTTTTTTTTTTTTTACTTTCCGGTTGGTCAGTGTGGGATTATAAGCTACAGCGGCCAGAAGGAATCTGTCCTCATCCTCCGTCGTCGCCCCCGGTCGTGATTCACGTGGGAGGTTCTCAATCCACTGCTCGTCCTGAAACGCCTGCCATCTTTTGGTTATGATGCATAATGTGCGACCGTATAGTCTCGCTACCCTATTCACGCTGGGTAAGAATGCTAAGCCCCTCCGAAATGGTAACTCTTGTCATGGTGTGTCAAGATGACTAACATTAACGAGCGATTCCTTGTTCTTTATAAAATCTACCCCTAATTATAGGTGATAAAATATGCGCATTGGATCATACAGAAAGCGTGGCATCAGCATTCACAGGTGCCAGCATTCAATTTCTTTCTCGAACTTTTTTACACACCTATGTAAATAAACAAACACAATTTCCCGAACATAGTGTCTCACTATCTTGCTGGAGCATACGCTCTCGGTCCTTCACTAGAATAACTGCTGCGTGGGTTTGATAACTGACGTCAAGCTGGACGAGGTCACGGCGGAGCCCTCAAGAATGTTGCTTGTTCGTCAATTATAAATTCACTATATTTCGTAAATGTTTGGTGGATGTGGGAGCTGGTGGACATAGATTCCGGCAATTCCAGCGCAACATACGAGCCACAAAAACTAGAGAGGCACAGGGCGAGCACTGCGAGCCGCTATATAAAGGTTTGCCGAGCAAATGACTTTACTTAGGCTTCAGCAGACGTCCTGGGTCTAGTCTTGTTATTTTGTCTCGAATTCCGCACAGTTTCTGCTATACTGTCACAAGAAATTGACGACGCATATTAAGAAAAGAAAAGATAGATCGAGGTACACTTAATCACTTCTTATGAGTTGTAAGTGCGAAAGCATGCAAGCCGCTCGTCCGTTCCCTTTTTCGTCTGCTGCGTACTTTTCGTCGCCGGTCGGCGCGTGTTCTCCCCTGGTGACCTTGGACGCTCCGCGCTGATGGACACGCAGCGCCATGGGGTGAGCGATCGTGGAAACTGACGAGCGCAGCGACCAATGGGAGCCCCGTCGACGCGTGCCAGCCAATGAAACCGAAGGAAACTATCTGCCGTTTTCGCGCTTCAGACTGATGACGTCAGCGAGACTGTTAATGCTTTCGCATTAAAGAAACGGCGCAAGTTAGGAGAAAGCATGACGCTGCCGGAATGCTCCACGGATGCGCGCGCGAGGTTCGAGCGCTAGCAGCCTGTTCTTGCTGCGAGCGACGAGTTTCCTCGCCTGGCTTATGCCGAGCTACCGAAAGTGGCTGCGACGGAACTTCGAGCGCACCTCCAGCGCAGCGTCGAAGCGCTGGGCGAGGGTCATGCACATCGGAAACGGTGGCTAGAAGGGGAAGTGTGACGGGAGCCGTAGTCGCGCCATGATAAAAAGAATCGCGAAGCGCGATGAACCTTTTGAGAGCCTAGATTGTAGAGATGGTTTATCTCGAACCGTGGAGTGCGTTTGCAATTTAAAGGCGTACGCCACCGACGAATATTGATTGCCAGTGCGCATGGGCTGCATTTTCGCGTGGCGAGGGAGAAAGCAGGCGGAACGGCTGAAACGTTCGGTTCGCTGACGACGACCAACGCGTTCGGGACCTCCTCACATCTCGTATTGCAAACGCGGCCCACACACCATGTGACCCTGGGTTGGAAGCACTGTGTAATGTGTACAATATACGTATACGTTGTTTCGCCTGTTGTCTGCAGCGCCCTACAGTGGTATCCAAATATTTTCTTCGCGGAATTCAGGTGCACGACCCATTTAACAGGTGAAACGTGCGCAAGTTATATAGTTGCACAATCCTGACTTTAAATATAAAGAAGATATGCGACCTTTGGACGCACGCGCGGCGGGCAGCACGTGTGTTGCGATAAAAATCCTCGCAACCGCGGGGGCCCCAGCAGTTTGCAGGCAAGTAAAGCGCTGGATATCCTGACTTGTCCAAGTACCGGCATCCATTGCTCGTGCCGCGGGCGCTCCTTCGACACAGTGAAAAAGCAACTATGGAAATTCACAATGAGTTTGCCAGCAAAACAAAGGGCGCCGTTAAGTATATAAGTGAGCCGTCTGTGGCCCCTGTGGCGATGCTAGATAAGGAAATATTATTTTAACGCGACAGCGCTAAGGAAAGGAACTGGTGTCGCGGAAAAGTCGGCGTCGTTGCGAGGAGAAAATCCTGATTGGTCGATAGGATCATGACTTCACAGCCATATGGCTTCGCGCGGGAATTTCGAACAATTCGCAATGCTTACGTGAAACATGATTTAAAGAGTATACAATGTGGTTCATTTAAACATGACATAAAGCGAATACGTCATGTCGCCGCATGTCTCAAATGATTTCACTTTACAAAGTAATTTATTTGGCTCAAATAAAGTTTTGAAGAATTTTAGGTGGGATTCCAATTTTAGGCGGGATTCGAGGCCAAAACCCTTCGGTTGCGAGCCAGACACGCTTGCACGGCTTTCGTGTTTCACTCTTAAAGCAGAATCTTAAGCGTCCCCCTGTATTTGTTTGTAGAGAAAGTTGGGTAACTGGAAGTGACGTGGTTTTTTTGAAGCGTTTCAGTCGTTGTGTTCCTAATAAACTTTCAGTTGCGAGTGCGCTGCATATTGTCGTTACCGCTTTCACTTTGTTCCTGTCCTTCGGCCCTTCTATGCTACCCCATGCAGCAAAAAATATTAAGTTTTTTGTTTTCTTACTATGGCGGGTTTCTTTGAAGAAGTTGTTAATTAAACTGTACCTCAAAATTGGACTAGTTTATTTTTTTTTCTTATTGTGTTCAGTGATCAAACGGACTTATCAATCAATATGTCATGTATAAAAATGCATATAATTAAAAAACGCTATTTTATAGCTATGGTGCTTTAAAACAAATTATACTGTTTTACATAAAATTAATTAATTATAATCATTAAGTAAAAGTCAAAATTTATTATTGAAAACAAATAAATCAAGCTTATTTTATTCAAAAAATATACCGAAATATCCCAAGGGATACCCGACCCCCAAAAAATAACCCGCCCCTATTTTTGCCCTGATTTGCTATTTTATTTTAAAACACCGCAAGATCGCTCACTCATAGTGACCCTAGTGTTCGGATCAATGATGACGTCGGCGTAAATGCCGCTAGTTAGCTACGGCGGGACATAAGCGAACATTGCTGATTCGAAATCTTTGCATGATTGTCCGTCGCCGCGATAACTAGTTTGGCAGGAAAACATGACCTAAAAATAGCTTTTCTTCAACTTCCCTTCATTGAACACCGAAATTAGCGCACTCCTTAATTTCACCCGATCTGCTCTTGATTTTAGATGGGCTATCTCTCGTGATATTGCCGTAATTCTTTGCACCATGGCTAATCACTTAATATCTCATTGTTAAACGATTGAGCTTTATACCATAGAACTATCCTACATAATATCAGGCTGTTACTTCTGCCAACTTAGTAACAACTGCCTTTCTTTATGCCTGTTGTAGCCAGTAATTTATGTTCCACATGATTCTAAACTTGAGACGAACAGACGACAAGGGGACAGACACACACACGCCTGAACGTGTGTGTCTGTCCCCTTGTCCTCCGTTCGTCCGGGGGTTAGAATCGTGTGTAACGTTAACAAGCTCGCCTGCTGAATAACTTCGTTTTCCAGTATAATGTATGTTCACTGCATTTTACAGAGTAATTACTAAACTATACTTATAGTATCTCTGTGAACAAATGTGTGCAACACCGACTTTCGTTTCGCTCCAACCTCTACTGTGGATTCCGACGCACCAAAGAGAAAATTACGCTCGTCCCTGTACAGATAACCCCGCTCCATCATTCCCAAAAATTGCTCTTAAGAACGATCTAAACGAAACGACCTAGAAAGCTTCTACGTTTGACAGTTTTTTTTTTCTACAGTTTTTACGAGAATTCGTGGAACTCAGCATCTTCGGAACATACTTGGGTTCCCTAGCGATCGAGACGGATGCATCACCCCATTTCAAAATTACCCTTCCCCAAGCGATTGAGTCAAAGCCGCTCATTCACATCTGACACGACGTAACTTACGATTTGTTTTGTCCGTGGAAGCAAAAATGGGTTGATAGCTACACTTTTTAAACTAAAGAAAATGGTATATTAAAACTGGCCCAGGTGATTTGTAAAAAAAAAAAAAAGAAAACTCAACATTGTGCAACTCGATGTTTCGTTTGCTATTTCTCTAGTCTTTATGCTTTGTTCAGGTAGGACGCACCTATCAGCATTTATTGGCTTTGTTTAGTAACGTCTACGTAGGTAGAAAACATCAATAACGCTTCGAAATTTCCTTCGTTAGGGCAGTTGGAGAATAAAAGAATGATGTTCCTACAATGTGAGCTTGACTTTGCTTTGGTCATGACTTCAACTGAATTTTACGTTTTAGCGGAAAACAAACAGCGCAAGGACAAGGACAGAGTAGAAGGCGGTAGACAGACACAGCGCTGTGTGTGTCTACCGCCTTCTACTCTGTCCTTGTCCTTGCCCTGTTTGTTTTCCGCTAATATGAATGACCAACTAGCCCCATCGTCAACACTACTGAATTTTACGCAGCACTGGTGTTCGGCATCGATTGCAAATGTTGTGTTTTTTTTATACATGTAATTACGATTCATCGTCGGATGTTGTGTTTGTCGTACCCGAACGGCACGTGCACATGAGAATAACTCGGACTTGTCTTTGTCTGAGGCATTTCAAAATTCCATCCCGCATCACATATAAAAAAGAAAAAAAAAGCGAAAAGCAAGTTTTCAACTTACCCTTTCTTTGCAAAGGAAGTCCACAATTCTATCAATTTCTTGCTGTAGGTTTGGTCGTCAGAGCTTCTGTTTTCCAGTAATGGCCTCCCGAAGACGTACTCTACGTCGTCGAAATGTGTCATACCATACCAGGGATTTTTCATCGCTCTATCGGAAGTGTGATTCAACACGTAGTGGAAGACTCTGTTTCGTGGGTTACTGGCCAGCGTGAGGGAAGTCAAGATTGTTGGGCAATTAATCATCTTATCACCCCAAGCGTCTTGGACCGCTCGCTTCAGCCCTACAAAATCCGTGTCTCTGAGACTGCCGGTGTAGAGATCATAAACATCGTTTAGAAATTCTGGACTCAGGGTTCCTATAAGAGGCGCTAATAAAAGTTGCGTTTGATTTTTTGTCAAGTTCTTCATAGACTCGGGGGAGAACCCAACCGGGAATGAATAGAAAGCAAAGAATCCGCCTTCATTTTCCACGTTACCGATCAGAATGTCTTTGTCCCCCGATTCGACGACCGCACATGGGTCTGGCAACGAGGAAGTTCCGAATATTGCACGGAAGCAATTTCTACCCGAACAAGCCAACTCTTCTGCAACTCGGATCTGCCTGGTGTCTACACGTCGCAAACACTCGATCTCGTCCTCTTGCAGATAAGCGTAAGGATCCAAAAAACGAGTACAGTTCAAGTTTCTTGCCAAGTAATGAGCCTTCTCAAGCCGCCTATGGTCGCTGTACTTCGTGGAGCGGGTACACAAAGATCCGCTTTGCATAATGGCCCTTTGGAAGAGCGGCCTGGACACCGGCGACAGTAGATGAAAGAGCACGGCCTGTGACCCAGCGCTTTCACCGAACAGCGTGACGCTTCCAGGATCCCCTCCAAAACTCGGTATGTTATCCCGAACCCAGCGTAAAGCCAGTGCCTGGTCCAGGAGTCCTTGATTTCCGGGGGCGCTCTGTGTGCTCCCGTGAAGGAAGCCCAACGATCCCAGCCTATAGTTCATGGAGACGACCACGACGTGTCCGAAGGCTGCCAGGAACGCGCCGTCGTAGACCGGAAGGGAAGACGAGCCTTGGCTGAAGCCTCCGCCATGGATCCACACCATCACGGTCAGGTTCGAAGTACTGGGAGGCACGACCGGGCTCCAAACGTTCAAGAACAGACAGTCCTCGCTTTGTTCAGTTTCGTCTGCAAAAACATGCATTAGTATTCAACATGCATGCCGAAGTCATCATTGTGTTCCCTCGTCATGAGTCATGGCACAAACGGTTTGGTAGATCCTTGGGTAGTGAAACCGTGCAGTAAAGAAGGTTGTTCAAAATATTTGTTAATTAACAAATCTGTGTTAATATTGTCACAAATGACAATTGATGAGGCGATAATAACTGAAGAAACAAAATATTTGATGGGGCGAACTTGTGCCCAAAACAAAAAAAAGTGAAAGCCGTTTACAAATCCCTGTAATGCCGAATTGGAGCGCAGCTCTTGAGGAGGAGGAGTGAAGGGTACTGAGGGGAGGGTAGACCCCTCCTCCTCCCCTCATTCTTTAATATGCTCCGGGGGGGCGGTCACGTGACCTCGGGGGGGGGGGGGGGGGTGTCACGTGACTTCGGGGAGGGGGGTCACGTGACCTCAGAGGGGTCACGTGACCTCAGAGGGGTCACGTGACCTCAGAGGGGTCACGTGACCTGGGGGTCACGTGGGGGTCACCTTGGGGTCACGTGACCTTGAGATGACCTTGGGAGGGGTCACGTGACCTTGGGGGTCACGTGACCTTCGGGAGGAGACCACGTGACCTCGGGGGTCACGTGACCTCAGAGGGGTCACGTGACCTTCAAAGGGTCACGTGGGGTCTTGGGGTCACGTGACCTTGAGATGACCTTGGGAGGGGTCACGTGACCTTGGGAGACGTGGGGTCACGTGACCTTGAGATGACCTTGGGGGTCACGTGACCTTGGGATGACTTTGGTTACGGCGACGGCGACGGCGACGGCGACGGCGACGCCGCTCAAGCCGGGAACGGGCCCCTAAGAGCTGCGCTCTAAAAGGGAACTGATTATAACAAGAAAGCGTCGCGGGCGTTGAAGTCGGCGAAAGAGCTGGGTCGAACGCTGGAGCGAGACTGACTCCGCTGGCCATGCGGAGTCCCTTATATACCCGTGGGTTTCTGGAATATTCGGCATAGGCCTCTCGGCGCGACACTCAGGCGCGGTAACGATTCGGCCAGGCACGCGCTCATTCGGCAACGCGCGTGCCAACATACCCTTTACCTGGTTGTATCTATCTACAAAGCTCAAATACCTACACCTTTCAGCGATGGTGGTACCGGAATGCGAGAATCACGCTCTCTAGCTCCTGGGTGCTTTGCTTCAGAATGGAGGTGTTTGCTTACACCTTCCTGACGTGGAAGTATGACGTAAGGCTCTCATATAGCTCGTATTTCACGAAATCAGAAGTATTCACCCGTCGCAGACCGAACATCGTACTCTTGCTCTACGATGATCATTTAGATGACAGCCCTTTATATAGGAACACGCCTATAAGATGTGAAAGGTGCGACTTACTGGGGGTACCCAGACATGCCATCAAATCGGCAAAAAAAGTGTCACATCATTGGTGTGGCGAGATCGCGCTATTGCGGCTGCATAGGCGCGGGTGTTAGTATGTCTCTATTGTGTGTTGTATCTCATTTGTAGCACAATCGTAAAACCACAGTGTGCTGTTGGCTCTCGAAACAAGGCAGAACTAGCGGTACTTTCGCTGACCGGTAGTAAAAGGGAGTTTTAGAACAGCGCACGCTAAAGCTTCGCGTTTCGCAACAAATAGCGTCGTCGCCACTGCGCATGCGCCGAACGCAAACCACGTTTGACGCTTTGCGTGCGCCATTTTAGCGCACGCTATTTCTCAGAAATTGCGTGCGTACGCAAATGGTCTTTGCCCTCCTCCAAGGAGGATTCGTGATGAGAAGTTGGCTAAAGCCAAGAAGAGCACAGTTAAAAAAATGGCGGCCACCAGGACCATGGTTTCGGCCGCTTTGGCGGCGCCGTGAGTGCGACGTCGGCAGCATCCTCACGAATGCGATTTTCAATACGGGACGACATTGCACTCGGTTTGGAAAGCCCAGTAAGGTGGGCAACGATCACCGGCAACTTGATGCTTGCGACGAGCGAACATTCATCCGCGAAGGTCGGTACACTCTTGCCGAGGAGACGTATACGGACAACGACCGGTCGACCGCTCGCGTCGCATTCCCACGTTTAAACGTATGCAAAATTGTTACTTCGGACCAAACATCTTGCTTTTTCTCAAGTAACAGCATTTCGTGTGTGAAATAGGAATCGTGACTGTATCTTGGTGGCCTTGCAAGCACGAGATGTTTGGGCTTTTGCGTCGCGGCGGAGAAGCGCTATTCTAAAACTTTCTTGCGTCGCGTACCGCTGAAGCAAGCGCTAAATTTAGCGCTAGCATGCGCTGGAATTCCGTACGTTATTCTAAAACTCCCTAATGATAGCGATATCAAAAAATCTGCAACTTGCAGCCGGCTAATTTGTTATCCATGAGACGATACATTTACGTTTAGAGTATGCATTAGGGACAGAAAATCATGATGCGATAATTTATGCATCGCCACACATACCGCAACATCTGACGGAGACGGCATTGGATGCCGCTACGTTTACGTAACCGTTTACACCAGCCAATGAGAGTGGAGAGTTTTCGTAGAGGGTTTTCGCCGTCCCGCAACACTCTCAGGCAACCGGCTACGATACCCTGAACTATACAGTCAAGGCTATCGGCGCGCAGGCGTAGCAGCGGCTTCTTCGTTGCGTAGGGCTTAGCGGTGGAGGAAACGCTGTCTACGAAAACTCCTTAATAAGCCGCCAACCGCGGGAAATCTCTGCGGTGACGTTCACGTTATTACAGTGCTCACCGAAGTACAAGATGCGGGAAGGTAGTGTTCCAGCAAAGGCATGCATGGTGTTCAATGTTTAACGCCACAGCAGTTAGGAGCTCGTGTCGCAGAAAATCCGGTGTCAGCGTCGATGGCAACAAAAAATCCCCTAATGCAACACACGCAGCCACGTGTAACGTCATACGTGGCTATGGCGTGATAACCCTATTCACCCGCTGAATCTGGAGGTAAAATTTTCCGCTAAATTTATCAGGTAATGTTCCCGCAAAAGTTAGCGGAAAATTTTCACGACAAACTTAGTGGTAACTTTTGCTGAAATTTTCCCGCCACACCTTAGCGGGAAATTTTCCCGCAAAACTTGCTCCAATTTTGCCGCGCATTTTGGCAGAAAAGTTTCCCCGTAATATAGCGCGTCGATAGGGTCATGACGCCACAGCCACGTGTAACGTCAAGCGTCACAAGGTCATGCGACCTCACACGTGACGACACGCAACGTCACACGTGGCGCCACGTGGCACGTGATGCTACCAACTAGGCCACGCACACACGCTTGACCGATAACGCTATTGTGTTCCATTCTTATGGCGCGTTCATACAGAAAGCGGATCCGCAAACGGCAAAGCGGATCTGCGCGTTTTCAACCACAAAGTGGCTGGGATCGAGCGTTTGGAGCGCGTTTTTGCCAACCGCTTCGGGACCGATTTGAAAAACCGCTTTCGCGAACGACAGAACGGCAACCAACCGGAACGCGACGCAGGCGTGACGTCCGTGCTCTCGAAACATGATGAGATGTGTCGCTGGTGAGGCGTCCAAGGCGCTGTAGTGTTAGCGGTGCAGCAGACAGACCAACGAAGAAACGAGATATTCACGTCTGTCACTTGAATCACCGCGAAAAGAGTTGACTCGTATTCTTATCGGGCTTCGCGCCGGTGATATGGTTCGGGTAAGAGTTCGTTTATCATTCGGGTGGCCAAGGCCCGTCGCTCGCTGCTTTGTTAGTCTTTGGCCTTAGAGCACAGAACCCGCCTTTGATCGCCCAAAATGGCAGCTCGTGTACCCAATAAGACAGTCGCGTGAACTACAGGAAGCTTTTGACACCGTGCATGACCACCCCGAAGGCCGATAGAGACGTCGTGAGCCTAATTGCTACAACGGGGATGGTAGGGTACCTGCGCTAGCTCTACCTGTAACGTTTACTACTACCAAAAAGAATAAAGGGAACATACTCAAGAAATAAAGTGTACGTACCAGACGATGCATAGGTAATCCATGTGGCGTTTATTGGAGCTTAATGTGAAACAAGCAGTAGACTCGATCGACGTGCGAGTGACGAGAGCTGAGTCCGCCATCAACGAAGCCACGACCGGCTACCACCGAACCCATTTCCCGCACCACGGTCTACAATTGCCACTCACTACTCTGAAAATGATAAGAGCGAACGACACCGTGAGGGCGGGGTATCGTCCTAGAGTAATTCTCTTGGACGTCTGTGATGACGTCCTAGAGATGTGACGTCAAAGACGACGTCTGGGACGACCTCTAGGGTGACCTCGAGGGCGACCTCTACGACGACCTCTTGGACGACCTCAAGGACGGCGTCGAGGACGACGTCCGCATACGCGCGCTGCCTATACGCGGAGCGCATTCGAGGCCAGATACTGTGTCGCGAAAACTATGTCGGTTGCTAAAGAACGATATCGCATTAAAAAGAAATGTCTTACCAAGGAAACTTTCGAAGCGTGATGAATCTTCAAACCGTTTTCTTGAGCGTTGAGTGCAATTCTCCGTGAAGGAGGTTCTCCCCGTCCGAGAAACAGAATGTGTGCGCGTGAAATGCTTCAGCTGTTTCAAGGAGCTAATTGATCGGGACCTCACAAAATTTCGTTCCTGAACAAGCAGCTGTCGAAGAGCTCAACAGCTGCATACAATTTATCTCATATTTAATAGTACACCACTGCCTGCAGTTCCGCCACGCCTCTCCTTTTTATGGTTCAAGAAGTGTCCATACTGCCAATCTTTCTTTGTACTTTTTTCATATCCGGATAAAATAGTGGGTTGCTGAATGAATTACATTTTTATTGGAGGCTACTCAGTCACCCTGAGCAGGCACTGCAACTTTGTGCTGAGGTTGCAGGCTTCCTTCCTGCGCATTACGCTAAAATGAGGCTCGATGCTGAAGACTACACGTACTTGAAGTCTTAAAGGCTGCACGTACCTGTTCAACTCTTTGACGGTCGCTTGTTCAAGTACAATTTGCTTTATCAAGTCCCGATGTGTTCATTGGTTCGACAGTCAGCGCACTGAAACAGCTGAAGGAGTTCACTTAACGCACACAAAGTCCCTTTCTCGGACGGAGTGACCTCCTTCAAGGAGGTACGCGTTCAGTAAAACAGTGCCCAGATCCATCTTGCATAAAAAGTTCAATTCGTAACACATTGTTTTCTGATAGGAACTGAAGTCGTTCTACTAACATTATATATTAAAATGACGGACTATATACCAATTTGACTGCGGAAGAATTTTGCGTCCGCTCCGGCCGACGGTCGTAGGTCGTCTCTCTCGCTCTTCAGCAGGGCCCCATCGGGGAGAGCTGCGGTGTTTATTCTGCCACGCGTCCGAGTATCTCGAATGGTTTCGGGTATCCCTCGGTCCATGACAGAAACTCCTTGGATCAGGAGTCCGACTTGTGTGTGGCGTCATAGCTGGATACCACTCGCCCCTTCAAGTAATCAGCGTGAAAAAAACGCTTCGAACTGTAATGTTCAGCCGCGGAAACTGCTGAGGACCCCTACAACACACGTACAGCACACGTGAGCAGTCGCAGGCAAAAACTAACGAAGAAACCGCCCGCAGCTTGGGCAGCCCACGGAAATTGAAAGCCCCAGCAGCATCTCCCAGTTCTTATCCTCCCCGTTTCTTTGCGGCTTCTATTTCATGGTCACCCGCAGGGGCAGTCCGATTGCGGAGCCCATTCGCACCGGCAATATTGTTCGTTATACGTCACGGGTCCGCTTACCGCCGCCAAACTCCCGTCTCAATTACGAGACGAGTGTAAACGGTACCATTAAAGTTTGTTCCTACAACGGCTTTTGCAAACAAGAAAAAGGTTGCGAGAAATCAGTAGAGTATATTTAGTGTTCACGAGGAAGCGCTCGTATTTTCTGTTCAATTGAAATGTTTTTTCTGAAAACCGTAGTTTTTGACGAAAATCCTGCCACGTTACAGTCCACTCAGTGGCTTATCTTATTTTTAAAGACTTTCTTGTCCTTCCTCGAAATCGGCAACGTCTTATCTTTCTGTACTCCAATAACGGCAGTTCTGCTAAATCGGTCGTATTGAAAAAGCCGTAAATTTCAAAATACAAAAACGCAAATTCGGCAGAGACATGTACTGCTTACGTGTAGGAATGCGTTCCTACACGCAGCACGTTCCTACAAGCAGCGCGCCCCGTCTCTCTCTTTCACATGTCACACCGGCGGTGACATCATGGTCCCTCACTGCGCACGCGCGGCCATTCGCCGGCTCTACGGCTTCTGACCGGCTTCAGAGACGACGCGTCTGATATGACGCGTCGCAGCCAAAGCGAATTCCACTTGTGGGTGCCGTTTTTCCGTTACAGGCGGTTAGAGACAACGAATTCGCTTCGCTCTGTGAAACAGTTAAGGCTTTCGCACTAAAAAAAAAGACATATTGAAATACCTCCCTAACGGGCTGTATGAACCTCAATTTTTGCAAATAAATACAAAATCGAAGATGGACTTCTTTGTGATTTTTAAAATAGTGCGATATGAGTAATCTGCCTACTTTTGAGTAATTTTTGAAGAGTATGTGCGTTTTCAATTTGAACGAAAGATTGTACGAATTGAACGAAAGATTGTACGGGTTTCACAATGATGACAACAAATTTCAAATTTCCCAAAAAAATTGAACGCGTAGTTACAAAGTTTTATTTTTTTTCGGAAAATCTTGCATTGTTGTATGATTTGTAATTTTATATAATAAAGACGCTTCGTAAACAACAAGGAATCTTAACCCAATTTTTCTATTTCTTCAGTATCTGCACATATACCTATTAGACCCACAGCGACCACAGTTTGGGCTTTATAACTACCCAAAATATCGACTTCGGGGAAGTCGCCATACGCGCACTTGACAGAAGTGACATTCAGATTCTCGTTCCCGAAAAATAAATTATATTTTTTTTTTCTTACAAAAAGCAAAAATGCGGGGACGTTTTTTCCGGGTGCACGAACAACAAATGTTTTTGTTTTCATCGCTTAAATGTTGACCGGACATAGCCGTTTGACCCTATATATAGATCCATCATTCCAGTCAATAACAGCTCAAGAAACACCGGACATGGTTAGATGCACATTTTTTTGCTTCCTAATTCGTTAGTCGGCGTTTTTATTGGCTAATTCTGCAGTTATATTGGCTACGAAGCGACAATGAGATGCTAAGAGCTCGATCGCCACGCCATGGATTTTCTGAGCTGTCAGTGAGAAGGAAAGGTAATTATCGATTCGCGAGAAAACAAGTGATCATTGGCGGCTCCATTATAATATTGCTTTTGTCGCACTCCCGTTAAGTGTAAGATGTGACCTGTATACCTGGTACAGCCCACTCGACTCCTCGATAAACGTTCCCCTGGATGCAGGCCGGGGGTGTTTCGGTGGCATTCAGAACACCACTCCAGGGTTCCGCAGGCTGCGGTTCTCGGAACCGAAGTTCACCGGTAGGGGCCTTGCCGTACCGAATGCCTATGAAGGTATTCACCACCGTCCCGCGCAGACATTGACTGAAGCCCCTCACGGCTCCGACGGCCGTGTGCACAAGGGGACCCTCCACGGCGTCGTCGGTACGAACGAGAGTCGTAAGTGCTCCCCAAGAGAGTAACAAGAAGCATGTTGTGGTCGATCCGTGCATCAGCTTTCAGCACTGGTGGTACTGCAGCGAATGCATAACATATAATATAACAGTGCCAACCGTCCACAGAACCGTGTTTATGGGCTCGAATTAAAACCATCGTTTTAAGACGGCTTAGCAAAAAAAAATTTTCTTACTTGTTCTGATTTGTAATTTCACTTTTTGTGAACTCTCAGGGAGTGCGGGAACACTGTGGGAATTTGAAATTGAGCTAATATGCCCGTAAGATCGCCGGGGAGGGCAAGCTTTCATCAGCCCTTTTCACGCGCAATTAGAAGACCCTCAAAGCGTATGTTTTCAAAGAAGCGTGTGGGTGAATCAGCTCCCTATACCTTGACTCTGCGTGCCCACCTCGACATGTGCTGGTTCCCTGATTATTCAAAGGCTTCTCTTTTAAAGGTCTTTCAAAGGACCCTTGAAACAAGGCATTTGTCGAATTACACATCTAACAACAAAACTCACAAATCGAAAAAATTTATATTATTTAGGGGTCAAGGATTGCATAAGTCTTACCGTGCAGTGTGCAGCCAAAATACAAGGTAACATGCCAGTGTCTCTTACACCTCTCATCTGGCACTAGCGAGACTTTCTTAAAAGGATTCTCTGGACGACACGAAACTCTTCTCTTCTCACAATCAGGCTCGGGAAGACTGATTCCTTATCATTATCTTACCAAATTCAAGGTTTCTCTAGATTAATTGCGCTACTTGGGGAAGTTCTGTCAAGTGTTGGCAGACAGAGAACGTCTCTTACTAATCTAATTGAAGCTTCAATGAGAAGGGGGCACAGCTTTTGGTTTTAGTTGTCAGGGCTTGAACGATGACGCTCTAACAACAATAGTGTGGCGGGAAAAAAACTTGATTATTATAAAACTTTCGTGGTATCATTAGTATCAAAATCATTTTATAGAAAAGAAGCAATTCACATTTGACCGCCGTTCAGTATGATTCACCACAGTATATCCATGGCTCGCAGAAAGGGCGGCCCTAGAATGAGCCAAGTAATATTCTTTAGAAAAACATGATTTTAGTGATGAGTAATACACCCAAAAGTAAAGAAGATGAAGCAAATATCGCTGGAAGTGACTCATATATTTGTGAGAGGAAAAGAAACAATATAAACTTTCTTTAGTGTCGCTGCCGAAGTGCAGATATGTGAAATTAAACCGAAGTGTTGCTTCCGGGAGTTGCTGGCACTTTCTCATAGAGGCGAATGGTAAAGGATATGAACGATTGGGTCGCGGTTTAATTTCTGTACTTTTCTAATGGTTTCTATCGTGATAACTAAGTAAAACTCAAAGACTCTACAATTTGACTTTAAAGGCTGATGTGGTGTGTGTCACATTGTAAGCAGTGACTAATTTAATTACTCCTGATAAAAGTGCTTAAAACGACCACCCCCGACAAAGGTTGCTTCATCAGACACTAACGTTGACAATGCTTAAAGATATAGAAGGAAATGGTCTTCGATTTTTGCACAGAGAGCATATAAGGATCCATCGTGTTCAATTCAGTTATAGTACAGTTGCAAGTTTTGTATGCCGCACCTCAGCCACATCATCATACGACCGCACTGTCAGAGCTCGAGTCTAAATTTTCACCAAAAAAGATAACTAATTGAGGTGTTCAGATTCAAAAAAAATTCCATACGTTGTCGCGCATAAAGAATTAAGCGAAGTATACCTTCTAAATGTTGCATCATTTGCCAGTGACAAAGGAGTTCATCTTGAACGATAAGGTTTATATATTAATTTAATGCTATCATCAATGCATCGCTCGGTCGGCCTTGCAGTAGGGTAAACGGCACATAAGGCTGCAAAGAAAGCATAGAAAAAATCTGGAATATCGAAATACACAAAACATAAACGGCCACGTCTTAAAAATCTGGTTTAATTAAAAACCAACATAGAAAGGGGGGACAGGATAACTGGACGGCTAGTTGCAATGGGTTCATCTTTAAACAGCGCGAACGTTACACGAACGGAGGAAAGTCGTGGACGGTACAAGCGGTGGCCGACGTTTGTTCTTTCCACTTATTTCCCCTTGACGTATAACATTGGCGCTGTTTTAAGATGAAGAAAGGGGAGCTGTTCTAATATTTTTTTTATAAATAAAACAATTAGAAGTGACAAAGCAGTTCAGCTCGGACAACAAGATATTTAAATAAACGAGCCCAATTACAAATGGCCTCGTTTAAAAGGCTCGCAGTGTTTCCAGGCGCATACTTGAAGCTTATCACTTGAGTGTATCTCCGCGCTAGAAAATAGAAACCTTCAAACGTATATACACTATAGGCCCCTGTTTCGCCTAATGTCTTAATTTCGCCATTTCTTAATGACCCCCCAATTCATTTTTTTTTTTGCGTTGAGGATGAGAAAACATTTCCTTTATCGAAAACAATTCAAACTGGAGCAAATACCTATGCAATTCAATAAAACACATAGTGTTTTAAGAAATAAAAATCCCGAAATTGGCACAGGGAACTTTTTTTTTTACTTTAAAACAATAGGGCATTGGAAAACAGCAGGATTTTCATTTTGGCAATCGCCCTCCGAAAACTAAAGTCCCTACTTTTGAAGCCAGAAGCTATCGCTCCAAAGGAAATGACACTGGCTACAAGTAGAGGAACAGCAAATAATAAAGATAGTTGTGCAGGTAAACTTGGGAGTTATTATCTAGAATTACTCTAGTATTGTAATAAAGGCACATGCGGCTTGACAAAAACCCAGTTCAGTGCTGAAGAATTTGGTTGCTTCGTTTCATTTCCTGACTGTGTAAATTTTTTACTCTTCTTTTAGCGTATCAATAAACTAGAATATAAAATCGGCGATCGAGTTCTACTTCTACCCGTGTGCCGTAGTCACTGCCCTTTTACAGCGGAGTCAATGGACGCCATGTCGAGAAATATTATCTTCTCGCTTCTATTGTCTTTATTCAGCTTTTTTTGTTTTGCTATTATTTCAAGCAACAAGATAATCGAATCAGCCAAAGCAGAAGCAAGTCATTTCCCTGCGAAGACTGGGAATGGAATCGGAACTTTAAATCACCGTTTGTAAGAACTACGTGAAATTTTCGCAAAAAAAACTCTCAGTCAAGGTGTAGGTTACTCTGAAATGGCTAAGCAGCAAATAATTTATTGTTTACAGCTATATACAGTTCGCCATAAATAGCGTTAGCATTGTTGAATTGGCGCCATCATGGTGTCAAAGCGCTGTGAACATCTCGTCTTACAAGACATATGTGCGTGATCAGTAAAAGACCAAACAAATATTATATGCAATTGAACTTTCTTTTTTAAATTGCGCGTTGCACAAGTTTTGTTTTGCTCATTGTTTCGGAGCATAAATGGGCCAACACCTCAACAAACAGAAAACGAGTGTTTTACAGCGTAAAAAACTAGGTGAAACGAGAGACTCAAGATTTTTTTTTGTTGTTGCTGCAATGCTAAATTGTAAAACAAGTTATACTTGCCGAGACGAACTTACAATTCTACAAATCCCCTAATTACTCTGCATTTTATATTTTAAAATTGGTTCAGTGCAGCTGTCACTCAAAGTGTACGAGACGGAATCTCCAACTCCAAAAACAATGGTTTCCGTTTTGTCTTGCTTTAGGTTTCTTTGTGGTTTATTTCGCTCTGTCTAACCTACCAAATATAATTGACATAATCGATTAAAGTACCGCAAACAATGTAATTGCCTTTCTGCGAACCAAATGTTTCTAGAATACGTTACACACACCGCAATTTCTCCGAATTTGCAAAATGTTTCTGTGCAGCTGCAAGTCATATAAGATATAAAACGGAATGTCCACAGCGCAAAAACTACCCAACATTTCTGCTTTTACTTCTGCCCTCCCCTTTTCCATGTCGTATTGCTTCCTCTGTCTAACCCGTCAAATCGACCTATGAAGCATTATCAATCATCAAATCGACGAGTCCTACGAAAAGTAAAAAAAAAAGAGGAGAACAAAAAGAAAGACGTTTAGAACGAACGTAAAGCAACATCGAGGTCATACGGGAAAGTACTTCAGGGTATAGACTTTTTATGTCAATTCGAGTTGTATCGCCGAAGTAAATAAATATTGTCACGACTCTTGTTAAGCACACGTGCATTGAAATCTTCAGTCAGTTAGACGACGATATCTTGGATTGGTCAGCAGAGGTTCGAATGGTATACACTGTCTGCGCATGCGCAGTGCCGTCAGCGGTGCACCACAGTGGCATGACGTCAGAAGGTTGAGTCGGTCTATAATGAGGCAGATATTACCAATTAGAAGGTAGGCGTCTGCCTGTGCAATCATAGCCAAAAGAAAATATATCAGTCCTTGAACGACTGAGTGGCCTCGTTTGCGTCGGCCTGTTGCGCTCCCCTCCCCCCCCCCCCTCCCCCTCATGATCACAGCGATGCCACATGAGCTAGTGGTTCGAGTTCACATCGTCTAATCTTTGTAAAGATGTCTTCGAAATACACGGGCGTTTTTTTATTCGGTGTAAAATCAAATCAGAGAAAACTTCGGCTTGGGGTTCTTTTGGCCCTGGAATCAAGTTGTTCATGGTGGTTGCTATACTCCGCGTCAACTTTTCTTGGCAATGCAGTGGAAGGTACACAGTCAAAATGGGAGAGGGGACGCGGGCCTCTACCTTCCACAGCATTGCCAAGAAAAGTTGTTGCGGAGTATAGAAGGAAAAAAAAAAAGGCGACTTGGGGTATTAGGCTTGATAATTCACGAAAACATGTAATTTTCATGGTATTTCTGTTTTAGTTACTTGGATTACTTGGACAAGTGACGATCAGCCTTAGTATAGCGTCGCAGTGCCATCCGATTTTGAATAAAACGTCATAGTGAGTGCTACGGTGCGAGATAGGTAATCCTTGCACGCGGCTTTTAACCAGAACCACGCGTGTAAAGTGAGCCTGTGACGTCGATTTAATGCTTTGCCCTTCGCCGTCTTTGCAAGCGAAGTTAACGGCTGTCGCCGTCAACTTCGGTTGCAAAGCT